ATTATTATTATTTTAGCTTAGAGTAGCAAAACATAAGCTAAACGCAAAGAGATGCAAAATGTTAGCTAACAGCTAAGTGCAGTAAAATGCTAATAAAAAGCTAAAGCTTGCTAAAAGCTAAAAAAGGCTAGCTAGAAGAAACATTCTGAAAGCTAAACTAAAACAACCTATTGGACCAGAACCCAGTGGACCCAGATGTGGGACCAGAACCCAGTGGACCCAGATGTGGGACCAGAACCCAGTGGACCCAGATGTGGGACAAGAACCCAGTGGACCCAGATGTGGGACCAGAACCTTCATCTTACCTGTGGTTCGACCAAAGAGTCCATGAAGTCTGCGAGGGGACGTCTGGTCCTCCTCAGACTGGACTGTGAGGTCTCAGGAAGTTCTGTTGATGGAGCCGGGTGGTCTTTTACATCCTTCTGCAGGGCGGGGGTCAGGGATTGGGTCAGGGAGGGGGTCAGGGAGGGAACCAGGGGGTCCATTAGGATGTTAGACGGTGTGGAGGACTCCAGACTCTTGGGAGAACTTGTCTGGTTGTCCCCCGACACGTGGTCCAMGTCAGACCACGCCCCCTGACTGGCAGCTGAGGACCAGCCGGAGCTGGAGAAGTCGTCCAGCTCGGCCTGGTAGCTGACGGAGGAGGTGAAGCTGCCGCTCAGCTCCAGCTGCCTCCCGGCCGCCTGCCTCGCCTCCTTCTCCCTCCTCCTCTTCCTCCTCAGAGCCTCCGTCTTGGACTTCCTGTCCAGGCCCAGGTGCTGGTCCCACCAGGCCCTCCAGGCCTCCTCGCCCCGCCAGGCGGCACTCAGGCGCTGGCTGAGTGGGTCTCTCCATGCCGCTGCGTCCACACTGTTCGGCAGCGGCGCCGGGTCTGAGGCGGCGCCGCGGAGCAGCAGCGAGCGACTCGACATGCAGGACCTGAGCTCCCTCCTCAGCTCCTCCTCCTCCTCCTCCTGGGCTCCTCTCGCTCTCTGAACCTTCAGCAGCTCTTTGGTCTTCACCACGAGGAGCTGCGAGTCGAGCTTCTCCTGGCCGCTGCGCCTCATCAGTTTCTGCAGCCACACCTTCCAGGTGAGCAGAGTCCTGCTGCTGAGCGCCGCAGGAGCACAGCTCCTCCTGCAGGAGCGTCTGACTCCTTCACCCTCCTCTTCCTCGGCTGCTGTAGACTCGTTTCCTCCGGCTGTGACTACGTCAGGGTCGTCGTTAACAAACACCTGCAGCTGCGTCCGTCTGAAGCGCCGGCCCCGCCCCCCAGAACCCTCAGACGAATCAGAGTCCACGTGGCGGTGCTCTGGAGTTTCAGGAACCGCGGCGGCCTGAGTCGGACCGATGACCTCYTCGTCGCTCTGCGAGTCCGAAGCGAGCAGCCGAAGCGCCGAGGCGGGCCGGTCCTCGTGGTCCTGCTGGAGGACCTGATAGAAGACGTCTCCGGCCTCCGTCAGCTGCAGGACGCAGACGCACTCCTCGCCGCTCCGTCCACTTCCTGTTTCCCTCCGGATGCAGGTCAGACCTGCCGAGGAGGAAGAGGAAACCTTCATCACCCTAACGGTCCTGGGGGGCCGCAGCCCTGCATGTCTGACCTGTTCCTCTGCTCCAACAGTACGGAGGACCAACACTGACATKATTACAAATAAAAGCAGGATTATATGAACCACTAAATAAACACACTTAAAATGCACCAATTCAATTAAAAAATAACTTTATCTCCTGTTTTATATTTTAATTGACTTTTATATTTATTTTCCAGCTTAGTTTCAGTAAATTAGTCTATATTTTTGAACACATAGTTTATATTTTACTGTTTGTTAAATATATGTTAATTGTTTTCCCTTTTACTTCTACATGCAATTGTGTGTCTTAAATGTTTATACCTAATTATTTTTATTTATTTCCAACAAGTCTTTTTATTTCTATGTGTTGCATGCGTGTGCCTCGGTTTAGCTAAAAGTTTAGTTTAAAACAAAGGCAAGGAGGAAAACATTACCTGTGCTTTTATTTTTAACTAAACTTTAAAGTGCCTGTGACATACTTTTTTCTTTAATTACAAAAAAATTAAAGAAAATATTCTAATAATTTAGAAATTTGGCATCATTCGAATGAT